CGTCGCCATTCTATATGTACGTATTCCGCCCTTCCCCTACGCCGTTTACAATACTTTTGCCCAATCGAGGCTAACTACCAAGGGTAGATGCGAGCTGCATTTCAGCAATATGATGTGGAGCTCAGCCGGAACATGTTCGGCCTGATTTGCGAATGTGTTAAGACTCTTGGTATTCATCACATTGATCGGATTTCTCTCGGCTGCTCCATGCATATCAAGTTTTCAACCACCCAGGCGAATCAAGAGGGAAAAGCCTTTTGGGCCCTGGCATCTATCGACCTTTTCTTCCGCATATTGCACGGAAAACCTGCCTCGATTACAGCCAACATGACTGGATGCCAGGCTAGCCTTCCGTTGGTCGACTTTGCCTCCGAGAACCCCGAGCAGGCCATTTCTGGCCGGGACTCCCTTGTTGCTTCTCGGTTGACGCAACTTCTTCTTCGGTTCTTCGACATACAGAGCCTCATGGCAGGGAGCTCAACAACGACATAATCAATCGCATACAGAGGCTTTCTGAAGATATCGAAAGTTTGTTCCGGAAGTGGCCAGTGGTACGTATGCATTTATATCTTATCTTCGGTGCTCATCTTTTGAACTTCTACACATGCGTTTTCGTCTTGCTGATGCGACCGCTGTGAGTAGATAGACTCAATGACTGCGTCTGAAGATAAGCCCGAACACTGGTGGATGCTCTTCGACCTGACGCTGATGGCGTATTGCTCAATGATAATCATGTGTCGGGAATTATCGCGCATGTCCCTCTACCTGCCCGCCGCTCCCCCGGAGGGGGGGAGCCATCGGATCAGCTAATGCTCGACATCGCGCGCCGCATGCTGAGCTTGTCCCATGCTGCTCTCGTCAGCTACCCAGTCTCAACGGTGGTCTGCTACTTGTTTGGTGCATTTCGCTGTGACGTGGCATACGGGCTGCATGGTAGAGCACTTGCTCGCTGGCGACCCCAATGAGCCGGTTCAAACAGCTGGCCCTGGACATCACCATCTTGTGTGAGGTGGCGGCAAAACATTACCTCGATCGCAGAGAGAGACCAAGAACTAAATGCCACTCGCGAGCACTCTCTACGACATGAACAGGACCATCCGCGCAAGGTGTATAGGCGCGCGGTTGGTCGTCTCTGATTTGTCATTGAAGGAGCACAGTCTCGAGAAATGACACAACAACAGCTTTCATGCGCGCGAGAATGATGCAGCTTGCTATGCCATACATCATACCAAGCGCCGATTTCGCAAATCAGCAGAGATATACCGCGTGAGTTATGGACACTACCGATTGAACATTATGTGGCACTTGACCAATGCAAGCAAGGCTTCGGTCTTGAAAGCTTTTATTGTGCGTTTTAGCAACAGCAAGATGAAATTGGCGTAGCTTTCTTTTCACAGCAGGTGTGGCGACACGCGGAAATGCAGGGCTCCAATGACCGCCTCCAGCAAGGAGCAACCCCTTGAGCTGGTGCCAAGGTCCTTCATTGCCTTGGCCTGTGCCCTGGTCAGCCGAGGGCGTCAGGCAAGAAAGGGTCCTGGCCATGACGTCAATGAACCAACCAAATTCCCACCCAGACTCTTGAACGTGGCAGATTGCCTTGGCGCGTCCGGAGCGACTTGCATGGGTTACAGGGTCGCCTAAGCTATATACTGCATCATGAGCTCGCCACCCCAATTCCAGCAGTGTAGACTTGAGACTCACACCAAATAACTATCCGGAGACTAGTCGCATTTCGAACTAATCTTTTCCACTATACACACAGTCTTCAATGAGAAAGTCAGCATATCTCTTCCTGGGCGTTCTCGTCACCCTCGCTCTGGCACAGATAACAAGTCTTGCTTCGAAACAAGGACTTGCTGTTCACGGCGATGCACCCGATTCTGATAACGAGTTCCTGTCATCACAGAATTCGCCCATCTCCTGGTATTACACTTGGTCACCGTGGCCTTCTAATACAGTCAACAACTCGGTAGCATTTCTTCCACTCCTACATGGTCTTGACGCAGCATCCGACGATGAGTTGAAGTCCCTTCTCGGGCGGCTTCCCGCTTCATCAACGCATCTTCTCACATTCAATGAGCCAGACCACGACATACCCTCTGGTGGCAGCGATATATCCCCGGAAGATGCAGCGGAGGCGTATATACAGTACATCGTACCGTTGCGGGAGGGAAGCTCAGACTCACCTCGGACATGGAACATCAGCCACCCTGTTGTGACAGGCTCTGGCCAAGGTATTGAATGGCTCAAGCGCTTCAACGAATCTTGTCATGATCTCAGCCCGGACGGTTGTCCCGCGGACTTTGTCGCGGTTCATTACTACGGCGATTTTCCAGGCCTGGCCGCATGGATTGGTACATTGGATGACTTTTACAACCCATCTAATTCGTCGGAGAACCGCCTCAGGTTCTGGATAACGGAAATGGCGTTGCCTCAAAAAGAAGTGGACTCGACAGTCGCCATGCTGAATCAAAGCATGACGTACCTGGATGGCTTGGATCTCGTGGAAGGCTATGCTTGGTTTGGTGCGTTTCGCACCGACAACGCCAATGAATGGACTGGCGACAGTGTAAGCATGTTTGATGAAGACGGCGGCCTCACAGAGGTGGGTGCGACATTTCTTGGTGGCGAGGCCAATGGTTTCGAGAAAGGGATGAAGGGAGGCAGTGTAAGGCAATCGGCACCGATCACATTGACGGCCATGCTGGCTGTAGCGTTCGGTCTGCTACATGTACTTAGTTGAGGCACAGATTGCGGCACAAGAAACCGCTGCGCGACTGGGCAGCGAGCAGTTAGGTTCATATAATTTCATCGTGAGCTCAATCAGGTATTCGGTCCAGTGGTATACTCCAGCTTGTCAGTTGAATTGACGACACTTGAGATGATATTCTCAAGTCAGTCATAATCATAGTAAAATTTCGAGCCTGCTGAGTACCGCCAGAGGCTGAACAGAGCCTTGTGGGTGTGCATCTCACCCTAGGTTTCATAAAGCGGAACCCGATGCGGTGGCTCGTTATTATATGTATAGCAATAGCCGCGTAACAGTGAACGCCAGGTTGAATGCAATGTGATGCTGCGAAATTTTGGATCGGTGGTCTCAGATCAATGCACGATGAACAATGCTCATGTTGAAAGACTGGCCGGATCACTGCCATTATTGGATACCCACAGCCTAAACACCCTAAGAACTACGGCGCCCGTAAGGGA